CAGTTATTACACCCAGCTTCGGAGAACGCAGCCGATACATGGCTTCAATCGGATGTCCATCCATCCCAAGTGTTTCGGGTACTGGGCCCCGATCTGGTTTCTGGAATGAGAGTCCAGGTGTGGCGGTTACCAGTAGGTTCTCAGGCGGAAAAAGCAGGCTACCTCAAACTAGAGGTAGAGGACCTCAGGGTAAACAGTACACTTCATTTAGAGGAGGTTCGTGTACTGCGTCAGTTAAATAGGCAGGGCAGGCAAGGGGGCTACGCTGTTGGGCCCAGCTGTCCAATATCGGATTGAACCCCTCCTTTTGGGCTGGAGTGTTGGGGGAGTGTATACTCCGCTGCTCGACTACAGACCTAAGGTGGGGGTACAGCTACAGCAGGCAAGGCTACATAAGACAGCAACAACTCTGGCCCTGGAAAGGGCAGAGACACAACAGCTAGCAGGGGTTACTAAACCAGGAGTACGGAGCCTGTGGAAGGGGCTGACTAAGATCCCTGTCCAGAAACATGCAGGTATCATGTGGCTCCAATCCCTTCTGGTTACGGCTACGGCCATGTGGCTGTCGACGAAAGGGATGGATATACCCATCCAGTGTATGGGCTGTAACTGGGGATGGGAAAACATGATCCATCTATGGCTGTACTGTCCTCTGACGGATGAACTRATGAGGTGGTGGAAACACCACTGGCTTAAGATRGTGGGAGGTTGCTTTGATTGGTCCGACACATGGATGCTCACGGGTGTACTTCCTATAGACATGCAGTTTAAGGATGGCTGGGGCTACATAGCTCTCTGTTGCAGGGGTGTCCTGATGGATGTAATCTGGCACGTCAGAAACAACCGGGTCTTTCGCGGAGAAGACACCCCCCGGAGACAACAACAACAGCAAATCAAGCAACAGCTCCGTAGAATCATTAAGGCCGATTGGCAAAGGAAGAGTGGATGGTGGTTCCAGAAAACATGGTCTAAGGACAAACGCTTGGCGTCCGTCTCTGCAGAAGGCAAATTGTCGTTGTGTTCATGGCTGTTTGATACGCATGATTAGTTTGAGCTAGGATCGATTTTGAGGCCAGTGGGGTCGATTTAGACCTAGATTCGAAACACTAACATAGCAGACAAGTTGAAGGGCACATAGGAGCATTTGAATGTCTRYTCAGATTGTAACAGCAGAAAGGAATATGGGTTAATAGGATGTTCAGAATGCCTACACTGAACCCTGTGGTTTTCGGTTGAACATCAAGAACATCATGAGCAGGGTGTCAGGAAGATAAGATTTGGAAAACCCGGGTACTTAGGACCATTGGCTCCGTTTTTCAGAACTGCACCCAGTATATAGGAAAGAGTGCTTTGTTTAGTAAGTACAGACTGCATAGGCAGTCTCTTTTACTTGAGCTTCATGAGCGATTTTTGGAAAGGTTATTGAATTACTTGGGATGCTGGACCCGGTTTCCAGCAGCTGGATTGAAAACTTAAAGGCAGTAGGTGGGTCTTCGAGCTTGGCTTGTAAGCGAAACTGGCTGAGGCTGCCAGGATAACTCCGGGTCGAATTGTGAGGTCCCCGGCCTCGTCCCATGATGACTTTGTAATAAATTTTGAATCTTTCCAAAAAAAAAAAAAAAAAAAAAAAAATGTACCCTACCCTCGGTAGGGTAGTTTTCTCAACGGAAAATGGCTTCCCGCCCAAACCAAAAGGGCCAAAGCATACTACGAAACGGATTTCACGTCGAAAAAAAAATCTACAAAATGACTAAATCTAATAGGTTATTCTCCTGTATTTTGGTACCGTTAGATTCGCAATACATCAACGGCAGAGCTCCGTCCCACCATGCCACACGTGATAGAAAGCTCAGCGTTGAGAAAACTCAACGCTGTAGGTGGGACTAGACCCAAGTTCCCGGCCACGCCCTTCTGCCAAAGGACAAAAAGGGAAAAAAAAAAAAAAAAGCGAAAAAGAAAAAGAACAGACAACCCCCTCACATCCCCTCTCGCCCTGCTATCTCGTCCGCCCTTCCTCCCAAAGAGGAAACAGTGGACGCGGGCGGCAACGGACACGCACGACCTACCCAGCCTACCAGTCTTAGACTTGCGGGCGACCAGACCCTTCCAAGCCCGAAAAGACCCCGCCAGAGCTTCATTGCGGTCGACGACAAGGACAAAAAGACAATCGCACTAAGCGCAGCCTTTTTTTCAAGTCGAGGGTAGTGGAACGAGAGGCCCTATTTTTTGCGCCTGCAAAGGCGGGAACTCAACTCCTGCGCGATCCACTCAACTTGTTGAGAAACGATACAACCGACACGGGCCCAGGTCCTATTAACAAAGAGGATTGGATTAAATTCCTGAATCTGGATGTGTTTTTGCGCAGAGATGCAGAAAAGCAGATCCGCATCTTTCCACAAACAAGTCCAGATTCAGGAATTAAATCCAATCCTCTCTGCTACTGCTAATGGGACCAGGCCCACGGTTGGACCGACCAACAGTATATTCACTCATGAACGACGACATTGAATAGAGGGGAAGGAACAGCATCATTCGAACGTCCATGTCACACACACCAAAAGAGAAGAAGGTCGCATGTACGCAGAAGTGTCATCAAGGTACACGGAAAAATTAAATCGTTCGCATGTACGCAGAAGTGTCATCAAGGTACACGGAAAAATTAAATCGTTGAATAACATCTGTGTCGCCCAACGTCGAACAAGTCCACCTACCCGACTACTCATCACTGGCAGCTCCCGGATGTGAGAAAGAGCCAAAAAAAAAAAGAAGATGAAATGATAGACCACGCCATTTCACACGTTTGGTGAGCAGAGCAGCGAGGGAAGAAAAAGCAGACAGCATGTAATTGACCCGAGTCAAATTTTCGAAGTCAAAGTCAAAGCCTCGTTGAAGTCAAAGTCTCATTGAAAGTCCGAGTCCCGTTGAAGTCAAAGTCAATTTCCATGCCTGGTCCGCCTTTCTCCCGCCCTTGTTTGCTCCTACTCACTGCTGTCTGCTGCGACGAGTTGTTCTTCTCTCTGCAAATCTCCTCGCTGCCTGGCGCTGCTTCATCCTCGACACTCTGTCGCCATCGCCATCGCCATCGCCATCGCCATCCCATCGCCATCGCCATGGCCGTGGCCGTCTTCACCGTCATCTATCTTCATCGCCATCTCCTCCGCGCGCTACGTCACTTGACACGTAGCAAAGCAACAGTCCTGACAGAGAGAGTCACTTGACACGTAGCAAAACAGTCCTGACAAAGGACATCATGTCCACATGTCAATACATATATATATATATATCGTCACAAACAGAACTGCCCGGTAAACCGTAGGCAGAGAGRGAGAAGAGGACAACAAAMGAGGGGCTGTGACAAACTGTTTCGTCGGAGTTTCACCGACTCATCAGGAGGCTGAACCCTCAACAGTCTGCAGAATCCCCTCACTGATTACACTGTAAATGATAATCTACCTTAACCAAAATCAAAGTAGACTATCACTCACCCACACCAGATGGAAAACTCTACAGACTGTAGGTTCACATATATATATATATATCCGAAGAAGTTTGATCCCCACAGTGGGTACTTCGAACTACATTCTTGCCATTAAAGTTTTCATTTTTATAATAATAATAATAATAATAATAATTATTAAGATGATGATGATGATGATGATGATGATGATGATTTCCTTCCACCCCCACAATTTTCCCTCGGAAGCGTTGAACGATATTGCTCGCTGTATCGATTGGCCTATCTCAGGGGCCAAGTCCCACTAGCAGCGTTGAGCTAACTCAACGCCTGAATCTGGACGCTTTTGCGGAGATGTGCAGGAATGGTGTTGAGTTTCCTGAACTGCATGTCTCCACAAAACACGTCCAGATTCAGGCGTTGAGGTAGCTCAACGCTGCTAGTGGGACTTGGCCCCAGTTGGTACACACCCAACGAGCTGTTGAAATACAGACGCAAGATCCGATCAGATGAACGATATATATAAAGTCATTATAGCTGCATTTAGACTGAAAGATACCCCAAATTCAGCTATAAAAAATGACCGTACGTTGTATTCGGGGGAGGGAAGACTGTAGCTCAGGTGGTACACCACTGTTAACTGTTGAAATACGGACCAGGTGCCGAGTTTGGACTCCACTGGAAGCACATGAGTAAAACACTACAATGATGATATCTCTAGGCCATAGCACTTCCTTCTTTTTTTTAATCATAATTATTGTGATTTTTGTTTTTAAATCGAAATTGTCCAGATGAATGAACTCTAAGGTGGGAAGGATATGGAGGCAAGGTGATGATGGATCGTTAGTGAATGGGTCGATGGGGTAGACTGGGGGGGAGAGTGTGGGGGGGAGGGGGAAGGAGGGGGGAGGGGAAGGACGGTGACGATCAGTCAACCGACCGTTCAGAACATCAGTAACAATCAATCTCTTCCCAGAGAGCCACGTGTCAAGCCTCTGGCTTTCCATCCCTTCCATGAGAGGCTATCGTGGAAGCCTTCGATTTTTTTTTTCCCCTGTTTTCTTTTCCCTTAAAAAACCCGGCGGCCTTGTGGTATAATCACCGAACTGATCGGCCCAAGGAAATTCATACTTGTTTTTTTTTTTCTTTTTTTTTTTTAATACTTGTTTTATTCATCTGGCTCCATCAGGAGTCGAGCTCGGGTTAAAAAAAAAAAAAAAAGGGGAGGGAGGCGGAGACCGTTCGACTCTAGTCCAGCCCCCCCCCC